TACGGTTGGGCCGGTGCGGGAGGCCAACCGTTTGGACACGCGTTTGGGTACCTGAAAAGTTGATCCGGTCTGAAAATGATCTACAGCTAAGAGAGAAAACTAAACGTTGCATACTTTGACACGTCCGGGAATGGAATGTAGGACATCGACGGTGCCTGAACGTCCGGGGGAAGCGTACCACTCTTCAACGATGTTGGTGTCTGGCTTGTTCCTCGCAACGACACGGTCGAATTGTACCACTTATTGTGTCGCAAGGCACTTCGACGGCGGAAGTTCATCATGAAATGATGCTTGCTCCTCCGATGGCCCGCTTCAGGATCACTGTGACAGGCCAGGTCTAGAATTGCAAATAAATTCAATCATAAATAAGAACTACGATTTTGGTCATCTTTCGTTCAACTACCCGTAGATCTTACCAAACATTCTGGTCGTAAAAGCGAACAACGAGGTACAAGGTTTTAGGGTACGAGACTGTTAGCCAGGAAAAAGGTGTGGCATGGTGGAACAGTGTGTAAGAGGTGGGCTACTAAATGGAACTCCGTAGGTGCCAAGTTCGATTCCAGTGGCGGGAAATCTTTCTCTTTACCACGAATTTCTTTGACAAAGAATTTACAACACTGTTTCAAACTGGCGTTACTCGGTGGGTAGAGAGTCAAACTCAGAAGTGATATGTCCAGGGTCATTCATATTTCTTCTTTGCAGTGTTCAAAAATACCAATCTAATAAATGAGTTAGAAGGAAACACAAAAATTTTGTCTATGATTGTCCCTGCGCTGCAGCTGATTCTGTCTTTAAAAAACAAAGGACTCCGTGCTGATGCGATGGAAATGGAGATCAGCGCCCCCGTTAATGACTTCATAAAATCAAGTGTGCTAAAATTTGACCCATCATGTAAGTTCAGGGAAGACCGACATTCTAACGGTTGCAAATTTTCCCTTTCCTCCCTTCCCATTTAAAAGGACACTAAGGCATCCAAGGATAGATCCAAGGATTTATCGCATCCAAAACAAACTTATCCAAAAGAAACGTGATTAGACTAAAACCTGGACGAAACGACTGGCTGGCAATATCTGTAATAGTCCTCAGTCAAGCATGAAGTGATAAAACAGTTCACCTTCTGAATACAAAAACAGCTCATTTGGCGCCGAAAGTTCAGTCGAAAAATTATTGGTTTGATTCCCAACAGCACTATTCGCCATCTACCTACCTAAGCAAAATAATAAGGTAGATGAGTACTTCTATGCGGGGCCGTCCAAATTCGTAGACGAAGTTGCAAGGAATTGTTGAGAACATCATGACGTTCCTGGATAGCAGATTCTATATCAGTTTAAAGATGGTAACGTCCTTTACTCTAATTACTTCATCTCATCATAATTCATGTAGCCTTTTGAAATTCTGTGATGACAATTTAATGCATCAGATCACCTCAAGGTCACATTCACCATTGGACGTATTTGAAATTGTCGACCTGTTCCAACGTCAGACCCTGTCACAAAATCCTTACGTTGTCGGTTCCAACGGACCTCCCAGACTATCATTTGGTGTTCAGCAAAAGGCGTTAAACGAATGTTCTTGGAAGAATATGTGATATTAAAGAAGAGGTATCTGCTTCAGAGTTCATTAGCGCTGCCAAATGTTCTACAATCCTTTTCATCAAGCCCTCAATTGGCACCAAAACGAGTTACGATTAAAAGCTTTACATTGCAATTAAATTCTAGTTTGCCTAAAATCAAGCCACAAATCGACGGAAAGTCGATCGCAAAATTCGTTTCTTTTCTTTCAAACCCTAAATCATACCGGCGAATGAAGATCCGGTCGATATGCTGTAATTCGCCTGGCTTGATCGAGCGAGTGCCGGGTGGGCATCAGACCCGTTGGTAGTAGTGCGGTTCAGCGGCTGCATTTCGTGGCTATCCAGATCGTCGCTCTCCGTCTGCCTGATATTGCCGTTAGCTTGAATTACTTCACCACGAAGGCCAAGCTTTCGTAAAAAGTACGAAAACCTATGCAAACAAATGCTTGAGAAGTGCAAATCAGTGATACAGTGAAAAAGTGGTCAAATGCAAATCAGTGGGTCGGGAAACGATCGAGAAAACATCGCGACAGAAACACGCATATACCAGACGCAAGACACGTGACGGCTGGGCGTCACAAGAGGAGGGTGCAATCACAGTTGTGTGTCCAGCATCGGACAATTTGACCTCCATGTAAAGGTAGTTCACTCAGTTTTGATGACCCCCTCTTCCGTAGGGTCGCGGATGCAGATGTGCCAGGTAGTATTTCCAATGCCTCAGATCGTGTTTCAAGTACTGCTGAAGATAACCTTAGCCTGGAAAGCAGTCCTCCAAGAAACTTGTCCCGAGATATTCATGGACAAGTCCGGGAAGTTCGGATGGTCGGTTGAGCAATTAGCAGCTGTATCGCCTTCCTTTTTGGAGAGATTTACAAAATGTGCACAAGACATTGCAGCTCTGACTTCTAAATCTGAAGAAGTAGTGGTTGTACACCAAGGCTTGTTCGAATATCTAATCCTCCCGACCAAGTTCAGAAGCCTGAGCCCAACGATTCGTATCAGCCCGTTTCAGCCGCTTGTACCTGGGATCGAAGGTATCCAATCATGGCCTACTCATGTCCGCAGCTGCACATAAGGATGAACATCGACGTGAACACAGACGACTTAGTATTCACGATTAACTCTGCCTTAGTCACAACGGTTCGCGCCGGTTTCGCATAACACCGCTGGTCATTCCAATTTGCCAGGCAAACTATGTCTTATTCACCATTACAAATAAACATGACCACGAGGTACGCGAATTTATTTATCTGCAGAGTACAGTGGGCACATGAATGAGAAAGCAATACCCTTTTACTTTAGACACGCATGCCAGCCACATCGCACTTGGCTGCTAAACTTTCCAAAGAACACTGGCGGTCAGTT